TGTATTGTTGTATTGAGCTTAAATTTTAAAAAATATATATATTTTACCTGTGATCATTTTTCGTAAAGTTAGGGGGGGGGTTAACGCGCGTTATGGGCTTTTAACGCGCTTTTAACGCCTAAGCGGTTATTCAAACCATCTTAGAAATTGTTCCAAATTAGTTGAAATGATTTGCCATTATTTATTTGTTACTAGGAGTGAAATTGATTCTATTTAAACAAAGTTCGTTTTGGGCTTTAAAAAGGTGAAAAAAACTTTTTTTGACAATTTTGAAAATTTAAAGCCGCTATCAAAATACGGCCCACAGATAGTTGAAAAGAGTCAATGTAAGCAAATAAACAGGAAAAAAAGTATATCGAATTGTTCTTTAAACACTTGAATTTCCGAGTTTTAAAGAAAAAAAAACAAGATTGTCCGAAAAGCCTTTGATTTTGAATAAAAAATTAGAAAACTGATTCAATGGACAAATTTTTATTTCCTCTGGTAAGTTTGACAAAACTCCAGTGTCAAAATAAAAAGTCGATCGAATTTTTTGGCATTAAATGTTTGCTATTCGATAGTGGATTTTGCCTTTCTTTCAACCAAGAAAGTAAGTGCATTTAAGAAAAAATCGCTTAATTTTTTGCCAATTTTTCCCAAACCAAAGATGAGAAATACTCAATTTGTAAAGATCTTTTGCGACATTGATATCTTTCACTGCTGAATGTGTTAACAGCAATAGAGCATTCAATGAGGAAATAAACATTGCTGCTAGATCAACACGGAAGAACTTATACAAAGGTTTGAATTACACAAAAGCTAAAATTTGCAATAAATTTCAGATACTATTGTTTATATTACACTTGCCATTTCTCGGGCTGATATATCTTATAAAATGGTCTCTGAGCAAAAGATTAATTGTTTTCTCAAAAAAATAAAGCAGTATTTTGAACCTTACGCAATTTATCAGGACTATGTCATTCAAACAAAAATTAAATTTTGATTCTATTTATACAAAACCCATTTTGGGCTTTAAAAACGTGAAAAAGTTTCATTTTGGCAATTTTGATATTTTATTGCCGCCATCAAAACATGGCCAACAAACAGTTGGAAAAGAGTGTAAAACAAAGAAACAGAAAAAATCTATTGACAGTGTTTTTAAAAAACTTGAACTTTCTAGTTTAGAAGAAAAAAGATTGACCAAAAACCTATTGTTTTTGATTAAAAACTAGAAAACTGAATCAATGGGTATTTTTTAATTTCCTCAGGTAAGTCTGAAAAGACTTCAATGTCAAAATTAGAAGACCAATTTTTTTGGGTTTTTTTTCCGACTTTCGAAGAAAATGGAAAATTTATGCTCGATGTGATCCTTTTTATTCAGTCAAGGTTCGCCGATTGAAAAAATAGTTTTCAAAAAAGTTTTTTGTTATATAACTTTTTGAATATATCGACTTTCTGGGTTGAAATTTGAAAAGATGTTTCTCCTCCGATTATTTTTTTGTAGAGCTCGGGGGGGTTTGAAAATTGCCATATCGGCCATCCCGCACTCAGTAAAAAGAGAAGTTAATAGATTATAATGGATTTTTGATGTCAGTCTCCGTAAATTTCAAAAAGAATTCATTATAATTGATTAAAACTGGATTAGTTTTTTTTACTGTTTTTCGAAACAATAAAAATCATTATATTCGATCATAATCGATTAGTTTTTGAATTTTTTTTTTGACGATTTTTTTGAATTATAATTTATAATAATAAATTAAAATCCATTAATAATGAACAAACGTCATCGCTTCAATTCGTTTTATTTTTGTTTTGTTTTACGTGCTTTCCAGTTGGTTACCGAACTAAGAGAAACTGCCATTTTGTACATTTAACTTAATTTTAAATTAAATTTGATTTTTGCTGTGTTTTCATGCAGAATATGTAAATTATAATCCATTATAAAAGTTTTTTTTTGTGAGATTTTATTTTGATAGAAAAAAGGATTATAACCTATTATAATAGATTATAACAAATTATAAGAGGTTTCTGAAAAATTATAATCAATTATAGTTGATTATAATAGTTCAAAATATCACCAAAAATGTTATCGTTACAATTGATTATAAATCGTTTGAAGTTCTAAAATTGGCGCCTTCAATTAATTAGAACTTTGCTAACAATTGAGCTATTCGGTCGTATTAATTTCGTATGGCTCAAATTTTCACACTTTGATATTGTCCAAAATTTATCGGTTTTCAATACAAACTCCAAACAAAACTGCTCAAATCAGGCTGAAGCCCTGAATTTTCCGATTGCCTTTAAAGGTTTATGGAGCAGTAATAATAGCACTCAAAAATTAAATGAAATAAAACAAAATGAAAGTTTTTTTTCTAAAATTTGAAATTTTTAATGAAACTCATCACCCCACACGCTATATAAAGTACAAAAATATAGATTTCGTTCCTTGTAATAAATCAACTGGGCAAATAGGCTTCGTCAACCAATTTGGAACGATTTCTAAGACGGATTTAATCTCCGCTTTCGCGTTAATAGCGCGAAATATATCCAGCGTTAATTTTTCCAAATTGGCCAAAATGGCAATCGTTTAACACCCGTAACATTACAAAAAATAATCACAGATGAAATATCTTTTCAAATTTGAGCTCAGGACAGCAATACCTTTCGAATGATATAAAAAATTTTGTCAAAAATGGCTAGTTAAAAAGTCGAAATATGTCTGAAGAAAAAAAAAACCACCCCGAGCATAAAAATTCCGTTACTTTCGTGTCGAAAATCGGAACAAACACTACTCTCTGTGAATGATAGAAGAGTCGGGACATTCAGGGTTTTGCCTTGATATACGAGCAGTCTTGTTTATTTTTGCTATTTGATAGTGGACTTTCTCTTCCTTTCAACAAAGGAAGTAAGTGAATTTAAGAAAAAATCAACAAAACAACCATGAAAAATCAGTTTTGGGCGTGAATATTTTTTTGGCTTTCCCAGAGAAAAAAAACACGACTTTCACAAAAATCTGCATCGCATTTATCGACTCTCGAAAAACGTTAGTCATTCAGTTTCAATTTAAAAAATCTTTTTGAATATTTTTTAACTAAATATTTTAATTTTTTTCAACATAGCATCAATACTTACACCAAAAATAAGACAGAGCTGGACTAGAGTTTCCGTCAACCAATTGCCAAAAAAATTTCTTTTCAAAGGGTTGTGTGTATTCTAAACTCCCAAGCGGAAAAATTCTATTTTAAAAAGTCATTTTTGAAAAATCATTTTTTGTGAGTTTCATGCAGCTCCAGATTGACCATTCTAAAATAGTCACCTACTTTAAATAGCTTCATAAGTTTTTGAAGACATTTTGCTACCTAATTTACACTTTTATTTGAAAAGTCATTCCTTGCTGCTAGTAAAAGAGGCTAGCGTTTTGTAACAAATGTTTAAAGTCGACTTAAAATCAGAACACAATCAACTCAGAACCAAAAACTTCAAAAGTTTCACTCAGACTCAAGGAAACAAAGGTTTTTAAAATCTTGAGCAGGATAAAAATGGTATGTATAAAACAAATGATTCAAATGGATTTACTACAGGTTGTGGTTAACAACCTGCAGGTTGTGGTTAACAACTAAGTATTAGTTTTTTTCTTTTAATCCTAAGAGTTATTTTGAAATAATTACTCTTAGTTATGCATACTAAACTGTTATCTTTTTCAGGTCAATTAAGCAAGTCATGTAGCATGGAGTGTATGGTTAAAAGGTTTCATATATGTTTGATACAAAATCTCAAAATTTCCATCAGACGATTTATACCAAGGGAAAAGAGAACCTCTGTTGTGTCCGGGTTAAGTTATACATGTACAATACTTGCAACGAGCACGGATCATGGTTGACGGATCATGGTTGACTTTCGGTTGAGAGGCGCCCGCATTTAAGAAAAAAGATAACAAATCGATTTTAATGGATTTTCGTGGTCTATAATGTTGTAAATATAATCGATCCCATGTTACGTGCAGACAACAAAATTGGACTAAAAAGGGATTTGAATCCGTTTTTTTTCGCCATAACAAAATGCATTATAATTCATTTTGAATCCATTATTATGGATTTTATAATAAGTAGGAAATCACAAGTGAGTGATGCGCAAACTTTGCAAAGCGAGTGCACGTCCTAATCCATTTCTTAACCTAAACTCAAATTGCAAAAAGGTTCCGTTCAGCCCCCCCCCCCTCCAACGTTTGCCCTTTTGCTCCCCTTCAATCCCCCTAACGTTTGCCCCTTTGCTCCCCTCCCCCACTGAACCCCCCACCTGAACCCACAACCCTCCCCCCCCCCCCCCCCACCTGAACCCACGTCCCCGCACCTGAACCCACAAAAATAACAAAGTTAGGTAGAAAAAAATTCAATTGAACAACAAGTAATCAACGTAACCAACTTTAATTTAAAACGTAGAAAAGACCATGTGCGTTGAAATTCGCATCTCGGTAAAGTGAAAAAAAAATTGATTATAATTTAATTTCATTGTCAGTGTCCACAAAAGTGAAAATAAATTGATTATAATGGATGAAAAAAGGATTTTGTTGCCTCGAAAAACAGTAATATTATAATCGATTTTTAATTGATTATAATCGATTTGTTTTCATGGAACTCCAATGCGGGCAGAGACCCAACCACTTTAAACCACTTTACCACCGCTCCCCAGTACCTTAATCAGATCACTACTTGTTGCTATAGGGTCGATGGTGAAGTGGTTATGTCTCTACATTCAAAAAAAAGTCAGATGTTCCTGGCTCGCCATGATTCGTGCTCGTTTTTTCGTTAATTGAGGCTGAGACAACATTACCCAGCCAAGAAAAATAGTCAAAAAAGCTGGATGCAATTCTTTAATATGGGCACAACGGCAGTTCTCTGTGAAGAACTAAACAGCTCGTATGTTGTTGCTTCCCCTAGTTCCTTTGTGGATAATTCGAATTCGTCCTTATACATTGGGATGGGGAAGGGGGGAATAACGAAAGAAGGATCTATTTCTCTTACTTTGAATGAGAATGCCATCTTGACAATGAATGGGAAGGAGATGCAGGCGAGGATCCTCTTCTCATTCAGAGTGTGTTCCACCTGCTTCAGTCTGACCACCTTCTGCTTGTCCAGCACCTTCACTGCGTAGTACTTCTCCTCCTTGGCCGGAGTGTAGCGGGAGAGGAGGACTCGGCCGAAGGAGCCAGTGCCCAGGGTCCGTTTGATCTCAAAGTCAGACAACTTCACTGAGCTCTGCAGACAAAAAAGATATTTTTTTTGGCAATCGAAGGCTCTTTTCTAGTTTCCCACCCCCACAGAAAATTTAAAATTAGGCTGCTCAAAAATTGTTCACATGACATTTTGTAAGAAATGTGGTAAAAATTTGTTCACTTTTGTTCACGCTGACACATTTTAATGCAGTTTATATTGAGGAAAGTCAACTTAAATTGATTTCCATATATTAAATTTTAGAAAAAATCAAAAAGTGGGGGGAACTGGAAAATAGCCTAATCGAAAAATAAACACGCAAAAATATTGAGAAAAAACAATCAAAACAAACCTAGCTTTATCTGATACTAAATACTTTCGTAGTTTGTGTTTTGCATTTATGATAAGTTCTATGAAAGTTGATTGCATTTATCTAAAATGGTTTATAAAATTTACCTTTGGGTTCCGTTCCCACTTCTTGTTGAAGTCGTCTTTGGCCCTGGACAAAAACTGCTGGACTGAAAAATGAAGTAGTTTCAGGCAATCAAAATTTCTAAGCTCGCCACGATTTAATTGTTTGTCAGTACAGGTTTCAAAGGAACTTGTCGACTATCCCCTCTGCCATTTGCAAAAGTAGAAAAATTCGTTACAAGGTACAAAAGTAAAAATATAGTCAATTGTTCATCCATTTGTTAATAAGGGGGATTCGTTATAAGGTACCATAGGGATGAACATACTTAACAAGAATAATACCAATTTACTGTTTAATCGAATCGCAAAGCTTTATTGAAATATTAGCTCCTTTTCGATCTTCTTTGCTTTTGATTTTCAGATTTATATAACCTTTTTCAAAACTATCCCGCACTGGGCCTCCATGGATCATAAAAGACAATACTGTCATTATATTACAAATCTATTATAATTATATTAAAATGAATTATCACACTTATATTTTTATGTCATTTCAATCCATTATAATAGATTATAAATCAATAGAAATGAAATTTAATCATTATATTTTTTATATTAACTTAACCCATTAAAATTGATCATGATCAAATATATTGGATTTTTCTGAGAAATGGATTCAAATGGATTTTGAGTCAAGAAACTTAAAATTTGTTTATGTTAATTTTCTTGATGGACTCGGATGTTAAAAAAGTTACAGCAGGAAAAATTCTTGGACCCTCAAGAAACCTGTTGCTGATGCTACGAATATGTTTCCGCCTCAAGAAACCTGTTGCTTGGACCCTCAAGAAACCTGTTGCTGATGCTAATAGTATTTGTGGAAAATGGGCTTTCCCGAAGTTGCCATGAATGGTAACCGCCACAATGCTTTTAGCACTGTGGATCCTATGATGTAATCTTAGAAAGGGTTCATACCCGGTGATTTTAAAAAGCTCGGATTCAGAAGATGGGTTGCTATGCAACTTGTTACCCTCAAAGAAGAGTGCTTCTTGGTAAAACTAACTCTCATTCATGGTCATTTATGACTATGAGTATACTGAGGACAGCAGGAAACATTCTTGGATCCTCAAGAAACCTGTTGCTGATGCTACGAATAAGTCAAAATTGCCAAAAAAAGTTTTTTTGGGACACTTTCGATACGTTAGTGTGGCACATCCTAGAGTGGTGCAGTCCTTTGTGGTGGGGTCCGCAGTAATCGGATCTACCCCGGTGTATCCTGGGGGTTTGGTCTGAGCTTTTGGGCTGTCGGGTGGGCATTTGTACTTCCTATTATCAGCGCGATGTATTGGATCACGAGCTTCCAATATGTCACTGACGATTCACCAAACGAGGCCATTTCTGCAAACGTCACACGCCGCATTGCCCAGTGCTCAAAGACGTAAGTGCGAACCTTGGGGAGCCTTGCTTCGGCAAACGCAAGCCTTGGGGGTCACTCGACATTTTGTATTGCGCATGACCTGTCTGGATACGGCCTTGAAAGCCACCAGTTAAGTGCCAATAGTAGTTTCTCAGATTTTCGGATAGAGGCGACTTTTGGTACAACTTTCTGTGTTGGTGGAGACCAGAAACGGGGAACTGTGTTCTACAGAATCCCCTGATGATGAGAAAGCTATTTGTGGAAAATTGTCTTTCCCGAAGTAGCCAAAAGTGGTAATCGTCACGATGCTTTTAGCACTGTGGATCCTATGATGTAATCTTAGAAAGGGTTCATACCCGGTGATTTTAAAAAGCTCGGATTCAGAAGATGGGTAGCTATGCAACTTGTTACCCTCAAAGAAGAGTGCTTCTTGGTAAAACTAACTCTCATTCATGGTCATTTATGACTATGAGTATGCTGAGGACAGCAGGAAACATTTTTGGATCCTCAAGAAACCTGTTACTGATGCTACGAATCAGTCAAAATTGCCAAAAAAAAGTTTTTTGGGACACTTTCGATACGTTAGTGTGGCACATCCTAGAGTGGTGCAGTCCTTTGTGGTGGGGTCCGCAGTAATCGGATCTACCCCGGTGTATCCTGGGGGTTTGGTCTGAGCTTTTGGGCTGTCGGGTGGGCATTTGTACTTCCTATTATCTGCGCGATGTATTGGATCACGTGCTTCCAATATGTCACCGACGATTCATCAAACGAGGCCATTTCTGCAAACGTCACACGCCGCATTGCCCAGTGCTCAAAGACGTAAGTGCGAACCTTGGGGAGCCTTGCTTCGGCAAACGCAAGCCTTGGGGGTCACTCGACATTTTGTATTGCGCATGACCTGTCTGGATACGGCCTTGAAAGCCACCAGTTAAGTGCCAATAGTAGTTTCTCAGATTTTCGGATAGAGGCGACTTTTGGTACAACTTTCTGTGTTGGTGGAGACCAGAAACGAGGAACTGTGTTCTACAGAATCCCCTGATGATGAGAAAGCTATTTGTGGAAAATGGTCTTTCCCGAAGTAGCCAAAAGTGGTAATCGTCACAATGCTTTTAGCACTGTGGATCCTATGATGTAATCTTAGAAAGGGTTCAAACCCGGTGATTTTAGAAAGCTCGGATTCAGAAGATGGGTAGCTATGCAACTTGTTACCCTCAAAGAAGAGTGCTTCTTGGTAAAACTAACTCTCATTCATGGTCATTTATGGCTATGAGTATACTGAGGACAGCAGGAAACATTCTTGGATCCTCAAGAAACCTGTTGCTGATGCTACGAATGAGTCAAAATTGCCAAAAAAAAGATTTTTGGGACACTTTCGATACGTTAGTGTGGCACATCCTAGAGTGGCGCAGTCCTTTGTGGTGGGGTCCGCAGTAATGGGATCTACCCCGTTGTATCCTGGGGGTTTGGTCTGAGCTTTTGGGCTGTCGGGTGGGCATTTGTACTTCCTATTATCTGCGCGATGTATTGGATCACGTGCTTCCAATATGTCACCGACGATTCATCAAACGAGGCCATTTCTGCAAATGTCACACGCCGCATTGCCCAGTGCTCAAAGACGTAAGTGCGAACCTTGGGGAGCCTTGCTTCGGCAAACGCAAGCCTTGGGGATCACTCGACATTTTGTATTGCGCATGCCCTGTCTGGATACGGCCTTGAAAGCCACCAGTTAAGTGCCATTAGTAGTCTCTCAGATATTCGGATAGAGGCGACTTTTGGTACAACTTTCTGTGTTGGTGGAGACCAGAAACGGGGAACTGTGTTCTACAGAATCCCCTGATGATGAGAAAGCTATTTGTGGAAATTGGTCTTTCCCGAAGTAGCCAAAAGTGGTAATCGTCACAATGCTTTTAGCACTATGGATCCTATGATGTAATCTTAGGAAGGGTTTATACCCGGTGATTTTAAAAAGCTCGGATTTGTAAGGTGGGTAGCTATGCAACTTGTTACCCTCAAAGAATAGTGCTTCTTGGTAAAACTAACCCTCATTGATGGTCATTTATGACTATGAGTATACTGAGGACAGCAGGAAAAATTCTTGGATCCTCAAGAAACCTGTTGCTGATGCTACGAAGATGTCAAAATTGCCGAAAAAAGGTTTGCTTTTTTGGGAAAATTTTGAAAATCACCTATTTGCATGTGTGTTATCTCAAAACTTATCAAATTTTTTAGGAATAAAAAGCCACCGAGAACGCTGTTTCCTTAAGTTAGCGTAAACTTTAGCAATCTTGACAAGGCGGAAACTAAATAGTTTTTATAATGAACTTAACAAAAAAATATTCAAGGTCTATGAGCCTCTTCCACAGATGGAGTTAGACATCAAGCGCGAAGCGCATTAAAAGGGATACAATACATCCTCCACGAACTATTCGGTTTTGGTTCTCATTTCAGATAGTGCTGGAAACAAAAAGTATATGCCCAGTAACAATATCTCTGACCTTGATACAATTCTTAACCCTATGAAAATGAATAGACTGCTCACGTAAAAATCAAGTGACCTTACTGGCACGAGTCGGTCGCAAGAAGATGGAAAACGATTTGAAGTTTTCGGGAAAAATTCTCCAGCAAACATGCGTCACTTTTGGCATAACTCAAGACATAAAAACGGTAGTCCTGAAAATAGTAGCAAATGAGTTGAGATATGTATCAAACATGAACTGAAACTTTGCTTTAACCCTGTGGAATAAACTATCCGTAAAAAGAAAAACTACTGCACTACTATCGAACTAATGAATGAACAAACCAATTGATGAGCAAATGAATTTACCTGAATTTACCTCATTTGCTCAACTTTTGGTTTGTTCATTTTTTAGTTCAATAAGAGTACAGTAGCTTTTGTTTTTACGGATAGTTTATTCTACAGGGTTAAATCAAAGTTTCAGTTCATGTTTGATACATATCTCAGCTCATTTGCTACTTTTTTCATGACTACCGTTTTTATGTCTTGATTTTGCCAATAGTGACGCTTGTTTGCTGGAGAAACTTTCCCGAAAACTTCAAATCGTTCATCATCATCTTGCGACCGCCTCGTGCCAGTAAAGTCAATTGAATTATACGTGGGCAGTCTGTTCATTTTAAAGGTTTAAGAACTGTCTCAAGGTCAGAGATACTGTTACAGGGCCTATTTTTTTTGCTTCCAGCTCTATCTGAAGTGAGAACTGAAACCAAACCTTTCATGGAGGAAGTAATGTATCCCTTCTAAACCACTTCGCGCTTGATGTCTAACTCCATCTGTGGAAGAAGATCATTGTGAATTTCATTATGAAAACCAATTAGTTTTCAAGATTGCTAACTAAAGCTTACGATAACTTAAGGAAACAGCGTTCTCGGTAGCTTGTTTCACCTGTAAAACATGATAAGTTTGGAGAAAACACCCATGCAAATAGATGATTTTCAAATGTTTCTCAAAAAAAACTAAAAATTGTTTGGCAACTTTGACTTATTCGTAGCATCAACAACAGGGTTCTTGAGGTTCCAAGAATCTCTACTGCAGTAACTTTCTTGATACCTGAGTCTTTCAAGAAAATTAACAACAAAGATATTTCACCAGATATTTCAATAAAAAATAATTTCCCTTCAATCTTCAAAATCTTACCTTTCAGAACGTCGTTTCAAGCTCAATGATATTTTTCAAAA